AACTCCCCTGTGAGAAAAAAATAATAACATTTGTGACTTTCACACTTACTAAAACGATAAGTACATAAAATTGAATCTCTCTCATATTATTAGTCATTTAGTGAATATGAATGATGAATATGAACTGTACAATTTCATTCAGAGAAAAGGAATAAGGATGGCCCTTAATGTGGATGTCTTTTAAAGAGTTAATGGCTGCTGGTCATAATGACTACATACACTCTCCAATAATGGAGATAAAATGCCTCTGTATTTCATTTACTGGATGCTATTGCACTCATATCCTGCTTGACATCTTCCCTATTAGGCCATCATGGGAACAGAATGCTTGCTTGGTTAATAATTTATTTCTATTATTAGATTTACACACTGCTTCCATTTAGTGCAACTTGTGATAATGTACGCAATGCTCCTGCCTCCTGTTTTCCCCACAACAACAACCCTGAGAGATGGGCTGGGCTGAGAGACAGTGACTGGCCCAAGGTCACCCAGCTGGCTTCCATGTCTTAGAGAACTCACAGTCTTCAGTTTCTAACCCAGCATCTTAACCAGTACACCAAGCTGGTTTTGGATTTAGATTAGGTTTTATACAGCATATCTCTTCTTACAGTATATTCTAATAACATATTAGCTATTAGAGATACCTTTTATTACCAGGAGAAAAAAATACATGAAATCACTGGAAGATATGAATAATAATAGACAAATGAACTAAATTATGAAAACTATAACAGCATATAATGTAGGCGAGAGAATCTGAAGATACATCTCAGCACTGATGTATACAAGGGTTCAGCCACTGAAGACCAAAGTGTCAAAGTCTTGAAAATAAAGAAGGAAGAGTAGCATGTTTGAAGGCTACCTGCTTTCACAAGACTTTTTATAGGTCTCTTTATGGAAGCAGGTAGAAATTGCCCTAGACCTTCTTTTCATAAAATCTGGATGTGACAATGCTTGTTCATTGCAAAATAGTTTGAGGTGGACATATGATCTCAAATGCTTAGGAAAGTTGAATTTTTACATATGTTACCTTAGCACAGACTCACCTAATTAATCTTGCTTGGAGAACCTTTGTGCTTTCTGTCATGTCTGCAAATGTACAACATCTATGATGAATACAAAATATCTGAAAAAATAAATATAGTATACTTCTATATCTGATTAAAAGTTGGTCAGAAAGGACACCAGGAGTGCGATGTTTGGAAACCTCATATGGTAAACTGGAAAAACAGTGGTGTGGTGAAGGTATTGCTGGTTGTGGATGGAAAAGTGTCCTTGGACTATCCGTCTACTTAGCACATAAGCAGGATAAACTTTAATGAGAGGTCAATATTTTTTATGAATTATGACAAGTGTACCTTAAGGGTAAGCATTCTGGTGATCCCTTCCCCAGTAGCACAAATCTATAAGGAGGAATGGTGTATTTTGATTTTTTCTTCTCCCATCTGAGGATATTGCATGGACTTCAAGAGATTAAGTCTTAATTTCTTTGTTATTATCATGCTACACTTTGGCACTGATTAGCATAGGTTGTTTACCTAATGCTACAATCAGAGAAAAGAACATCACCTGGGCATATTTAACCCATCTCATTTGGCTCCATAATGCTTATCTAGCTCTATAAATGTCAGTCTTCAGAAGGACTTTTTAAATGATACAATAATAGGAAATAGGAGTCCTAGTAATAAATGCACTATGATTTCTTCTAACATGTTTTTGTAACAAAACAAAACAAGAATGAACAAATATCAAGTTATTTTTCTCCTGGCTGAATGCGTTGAGAAGCATATTTTAGTGGCATCTGATTTCCACTGAACAATAAAGATTACCTTGAGTCTCTATGAGGCAAACAGAAATCTGATAAAACAACAGTGATAAGAAAAGTGAAAAAGAAAAGTTTTTAATAGCTTTTGTGTTGGGAAGTTTGTCATGCTTCGCACCAACTTAAAGCCTGTTTTTCCATTCAAGTATAATCAACCGAAAATTGAGGAATTTAAGGCCCTTGTTCCCATCTAATTACATCTACTTGATTTACTAAATCATGGGTGATTATCCAATCATATCTGAAATGAGAAAATGATGGGAATTGAATTTCCATTCATTGTTCGGAGAGCTTATAAAAATTAGAAGAACTGTCAAGAATAAAATAAAATAAATTAGTGTAGATGGTGCCTTTTTTTTCTAGGAAACTTAGGTAAGCAAACTTTGTTCCTGGGAACTGCTCTTGTTTCCAGATACAGAATGTGTCCTATTAAAATAAAAGTCCTATCTAAAGCAAAAATTAGATATCTAAGATAGGTGCAATCCTCTGCACATTTAGTTGGGAGTTAACTCCATTGAAGATTACTTCTGAGAACAATCATAATCTTGCTGGAGGTTGAAGCATTCTTTGTGTGCTTGTGAGCATTACTGAGAGTTGAAACCAGCATTTGGGAAGAGAAGGCAGAAAGAAGTGAACTTAGATTAGCAAGTTCTTAAACAAAGAGTAGGCTGAGTAATAGACAGAGTAAATCCTTAACTCTCTATCTGCACTCTAGTGTCCCCTTGTAGTCTGTAGGTCATGAGGTGCTGAAGTTTCAGTCACTGGATTTGGATGTCCAGCCAATCTTAACATTAGAGTTTAGGCTAACAGAATTTAAATTACAGCATATATCTGTAAGAGAAATGACCCTGCAATTAGGTGCATGGAATATCTGACTTCATATGAAAATAACTGATGAAGTTCAAACAGTGTTATTATTATAAAATCTAATTTAAAACTTGATCACTATTTAATAAATGAACAAACTTGGATTCAAGTTAAGATATATTGCTTTGTTGATTCTTATGGTTTAATTAGCTTTCACACTGTACCAGTTTTATTCACAAACACTTAGAAACACAGTGAAGTCAAGACTACATTTGTCTTCACTGTAGCTGACCTTGAAATGCTAAGAACACCACTGATCCTGCTGATCCATAGCCGAGCACAAAACTGATATCCCCTTAGAGTTCTGGTTCCAATTCATGTCCAAGTAGTAACAATTCTATGTAAAGCATTTGATTTTTTTTTTTTAAAAAAGCCCAGCGGTGTCCATGAAATCAGTTGCCAAGCTACGATGACATTGTCCTTCTGTTCAATTAGTGACACCTCCAGTTGTATTAATGAAGTTGTAAAGCTACTTCTAAAAGCAGGGGGAGAGTCCAGGAGACAGAGTTGAGGCAAGAATTTGTGCCACTGGGAGAATGTCACCTCTGAAGAACTTCCAGCATTTCTAACTGCTTTTAAACCACGTCTGATCTAGAAGTAAATCAGCTCAGCTGCCCAACAGTTATGATTGTGTTAGAATACAGGGGTGTGAAACTGACCCAAGAGAGTGAATGCAGAGGTGCCCTAAATATCATGTGTAATAAAAGCAGATGATTTGGGGAAGTACAGAACATTTAATCATTTTTCTTGCCACACTATTCACTTCTCTTTTTAAGCAATTGTTCCTAGACTTGAGGTTCACATACCCTTAAAATTTATGAATAATGGAGAAAAAAATGAGCTGTTAGTCTTTCATTATACGTAAATAAAGTTGTGTATAATAAAAGCCCAATAGTTCATTTTTTTGTAAAATATAAATTCTACTATGTGTGATTTCTTTCATACATGAAGTCAGTTCTCTATGTCATCCATGTAATATACAGGCCAGATAAAATAAAATATGTATCTTTCAAATGCTAAGAAACCAATACTTTTTCTTCTCACAGTATGTTATGAAACTTATGTTCTGCTTATGTTCAGGTCATTATTTTAAAGGATTCTCCATCAGGCTTCTATTAAATATCAAGCTACGTTTTTCCCCCACCCCCTTCTCTTCCCTCTCTCACCCTAATACTTGTAATGCCTCTGGAAGATAGAGTCACCTTCATGGTATATAAAATGGATAAATTGCTGGTGAGCTAAGTTGTAAAGAAAACCCTGGGAAAGTAAATATGTAGGATAAATAATATAACCTTGAACTTTTTTTAAAGAAAAGTTACCCTTTTTGAACAATGTTTCATAGTAATTAAAACTAACTCCAGCACATAGACTAAGAATATGAATAAAGAATATGTATCTTTGACCTCAGAAATACACATGCATGAAAGCGGTAATAGTGGAACTCATGGTTACAGTATGAGAAACATCTTATTGTGAGTTGATGTATGGGAGATAAATGAGAAAAGTTGTCAAAAAGAAAAAGAAAAACCCTTGTGTATCTTTTTGCTTTTTTTAAAAAAAAAGTAGCTATCCAGTATAACCTTAGATAAAATCCAAGTAAAAAGAATTATTTTAAAGTTTAATTTAACAAGTATTAATAATGCTGTTTTGAACTGCCTATTATCCCAAATTATAGAAAGTTCTAGAGAAGATTATCAGGAGAAAATATAGCTGTACAGGAGAAAATACTGCAGGGAGGGAGGGAGGAAAAAAATAAGAACTTTAGTAAGTTTCAATAAAGAGTAAAATATAGAAAGATCAGTGAAAAGGAAAAAGAAAAAGTACAGAAAGGAGAAAGTAACTTCCAACTTTCTTTGGTACAGGTATAGATATAAAATACATTCACCTCTTACTCTAATATTTTAAAAATTACATAATAAATCTGTAGAATTATATTTGAGGTTAGCATAAACTGAACTGGCAGATGGCAAGTAATCACTCTTATTGGGTCGTACCCAGATACAACATAGCACCCTGAACTCTACATTCTCAAAATTAGAACAGTTTTGAGGGATAGAAGCAATTATAAATTTATTTCCTCTTTTTGGTCTTTTAGTACATATCATAGGTAAACAATTTCCAGGTTTGGAATCTGTATCATTGGCTGTAAAATGGGTATCCTAAGTATCTGAAAGTCTTCAGGCATGACAAAAAGAAAGGCCTCTCTTCCCCTTGGGTGCAGCTCTAGAAATGAATCAATTTTAAAAAGATGCTAGCAGGCCATCCTTGTGATCTAGATAAAGTTCTGCCCTGACCTTATGCTTGCTTTCAGTTGCGTGCCACTACAGAACTTGACCAAGACATTCTCAATGACTGCCTGACTATCCAGCCTATTCAGGTCCCTTCATCTCCCCATGATGTTTCAGCCAGCACTGTCCGACAATCACCAGGACATGTCCATGACATTTACTCAGGTATCATATTCTTTGTTTTGATTTTTATTTGTTAATATAAATAATGCTCAAGGAAAAATAAGTAAACAAATACAAATTTCAGTTCCAGGAGATTTCAGACAATAACATCTAGTTTTCCAAGATAATATCAGGTGTGGTATAATTGTGTTTGTTTTTGTTGATTTTTAAAAAGAAAAACACATGGAAATATATGGTAATAGACAAAATAATTCAAAGAAATATGATCGCATTACTTGAAAATTCTCTTCCCAGCTCTTCCTTCAGAGAAAAAGTGTAAATTATGGGCAACAAAGGATGTGTTAACTATCTATTGCTGCAGGCCGAGTGTTGATTTATCCTACCAGGTGTAGTAGAAAAATGGAGGAGAGAGTTGCTGTTTTAGCCTGGGTAATCATTCCCTCAAAGTGCTTAACTATAGCTTGATTAACCCCTTGAATCTTTATAAAATTTCACTAGGTATAGTCTTGATAAATAATAATGTCTCTTGCAGATCCCCTAGTTTAAAAAAACAACAACAAAGAAAGTAATATCATTTAATGTATTTGCTTCAAATTTTATATTATTTTTACAATGAGACCCTGTTTTGTTTTGCTTTGCATTGTTTTTGATATATATTTTTAAACCTGTTATTTTAAAATGATTTTATCCTGGATATTCTCAACAATTTCTACTCCAGGATAAAATCATTATATTTTATTCACAAGCTTTCAAAGATGCTTTGAGTAAAGCATTGTAAATGCTTTGAGTAAAGCATTTATTGCTTAATTACCCTATGTAATTAATGGAATATTCAGGGGAGCCAAGAAACAATGTTTTCCATTTTTAACCCTTCTCTTTTGCCCATATTTTCTCCCAGTTTTTTTCTTACCTAAATAAACCTATTATGAGGGGAAATCTGCAATAGCCACAAAATGCTTCTTGATTGGTAGCACTAGGAGTTTATTTGATAGGACTCTTGGACAATCAATTTAATTCATAACTTAAATACAAGCTATTATGTTTTGTTGTTTAGTTGAATGGAATCCCTAAGGTATATGCTCATTGCTACACTTCATCACATGGCATGTTTATTTCATGGTATACAGAAAAGACATACTGTACTGTAATGTTGCTTCTCTTTGATTAACCAGGCTATAGGTTTAGTTAAGTAGATATTTTAATAACTCCTAATCTGGAAATAAAGACCCACTGTATTAATCAAGGAAGGAAGGAAAGAGGGAAATAGCTGTTATAGAAAGCATTTAATTACTTGGGAAGAAAACAAAACTGAAATGAATAGGTTTTCCATGAGTATTGCTTTGATAGCACTGAATTAGAATTAGTGTCATAACATGAAAATACAAGCTTATTAAAACAGTTTGAAACAGGTGGCACAATTATTTTTGATCTAAACCTTTCAGAAATAGAAAATCTATGAATGTCATGTTTTTCTTAATGAGAAATATTGCTCTAATATATATTTCCATGACATTTTGACAGAATTTTTCTCGGGGTGCATTGTGTTATACATGAGTTTGCAGTAATTATATTTTAAAATTAAGGAAGAATAAAAGATCTTTAAAATCATATAAGTTTGTGTTGAAAATAAAAGTGATGCTGCCCTTGAGGATCCAACTGCACGGTTTGGGAGATTTTGACTTCTACCTTTTTTGTAGCCCCCCTTTTGTTCTCTTCTTGTCACAATAGAGAAGATGTAAAATTAAAAAAAAAAAAAAGTGATGCCAAAAGGTCTGTCATGATTTGCACAATGATGCACACAAATTATGTAAGGGTGGAGTTTGCATCACAACAACACAATTCACATTTGGTCATTTCCCCACTCCCGTGGATGCCTGTGCAGAGTTGGAATATGTGCGTGCCTGTGCTTCTTTTGCACGTACAAAACCAAACAAAAGATCCTTATTCCTTCGTAATTTGCCCAGACTTATCAAAGATAATGAACAACCCAGTATGAAAAGAGAAATTAATACATGTAAAATATGCCTTATCCATTTTGTACACAAAGAGGCCAGAAATTAATCTAGATTAAGGGTTTTCAAATTTTTTCATGCTTTGCAACCTGTTAATTACAAAAACAAAAAAAATCCCAGAACCTTGATCTAGAGGCAAGGTTTCAAGAGGTCACAACTGTTTTGTTGGCTTGCTGATACCATTTAAATTTGCCTTCAGATATTTTTAGTGATTGGCAGCTGGAACAATTGATTAACAGAGACAGATGAACATATTGGAAACTCTTATTGCTTTTGTGATTAAGAGCCAGTGAAATCCCCAAAGCAATAAATGTGGGCTATGGATTAAAATCTGTCTGGCTAAAAGTGAAGGTCTTTACATCAGATCTTTCCCCTGCCAAACAGCTGCCTCTTTCCTAAGTCAGAAGACAGTTTCTCATTAAAATTTTTGTTTTGTCCTCTAAAAAAATGAAATAGAGATGACTCTGTCATTATTTGCATCTGTTTATGACAGGATATTTAAAAACTTTTATTTACCACAATATAAGCAGAACGCATTTTTCCCTTGTTAGCTGCTTATCTAGTGGGGAAAAATGCTTTAATTCTAAAATGAATACTTTCATCATGGATTTTTTAGATATTGAGTTAATCTACATAGGAATTTATTGTTTAAGCAGTTAGCAACATGATTTTAGACACATTTGGTCAGAAATAAGTCCTATTAACTGGGTTTATGCCAAAATAAGTGGGTAACTCTAAAACTGCTTAGAGTTACCCACTGAGAATAAGCATCACTGAAATCACTAGGAAGTCCTTCTGAAGCGGATTATAGTGTGCATCTGTTTATTATCATATTTATAAATATGAGTATTTTAAAATGTATAAATATGTAATTAGATATAAGAACTATGGATTCTTAGAACAAAAATCTAAGTTTTTATTTTATTTTTCATTTTGGTCCAAATAGCAGTTTTCCTTTTGTAGTAAACAAAAGTTTACTGTCCTCAATCTTCAGTCTTCAACAGAGAGCATGGTTGCCATTATTTTAAAAGCTATGTACTCAAAATATGAAAATACATTTAAGACCTAAATGCCTTCACCATTTCAAACTGGGCAGAAAATGGCTGCCACGGGGGACCTAATCAGTTATAAAGCCAATAATTTTATCTGGTACCCTTTCAATGCTCTTTCCCACAGAATGGCCACAACTACCTGTTTCCTTTTTATCCTTTGGGGTGCAGGTAGGCAATTTCTAAACAAGCCACTTATTGTTGTTCAGTCGTTAAGTCGTGTCTGACTCTTCGTGATCCCATGAACCATATCGCGCCAGGCCTTCTTGTCCTTCACTGCCTCCCTGAGTTTGCTCAGTTTCATGCTCATT